AAGGAGGTCTACGCGTACAAGACCCCAAAGACTGAAAACATCCTAAATCACTGAGTCTTTTAGAGACCACTTATGCATCTGTGAGGGATCCTAGCTCAGTTGGTTCTCAAACTCAATGTGATCTCCTGCTATATGTAAGGCAATCGGATAAATGTTGTGTAGGATACACAAGTCCCAACATTTTATCGCCTTCCTGCATAGCTGAGGCCTTGTCTACACTACTGATTAAGTCGATGTAAGTTATGTCACTCAAGGGTGGTAAAAAGAGCACCCCCCTGAGCGACGTAACTTACGTCGACTTAACGCGGTGTCTACACCGCAGTAGGTCAGCGGGAGACACTCTCCCTTCGACATGGCTTCTGCTTCTTGTTGAGGTGGATTAATTACATTGATGGGAGAGTACTCTGTCAATTTCTGGCGTCTTCACCAGACCTGCAAATCAACGCCACTGTATTGATTGCAGCGGCACCGATTTAGCATGGTAGTGAAGACAAGTTCTGAGACAACTGAGCCTCCTTATTTATTCAAGTAATATATAACTGATATACTGCGTGTGTCTACTTGAATTACTGAATTTTGCACCCGAGGAAGAAAGGATTTGAGATCCAAATAGCTGTGAGTTAATACGTTTATGTGTAATACAGATTCTTATTGGTTCCAAAGCCCTCAAATGGAAAAGTTGTTGAGAGGTGCTCCCCAACTCCTTTTGGAAGCGTCTGTCATAACTATTACACAGGAGGAGCAGGGCTGAAAAAAACCCAAAACTCCTTTGAGAACGTAGTCTGGTCTTAGCTACCACAGTAGGGATTAACTGAATTGTTCTCAGAATATTGAGCATCTTAAGCATTCTTTGGCATATTGTTTGTAGCCCATCTTAAATTTTTTGAAACCCAGGGCTGAAGTGGCTTCATTCCGAGTCTGGCATATGGTGCCACATATGTCATTGAGATCTTAAGGCCTAGTAAAGTCAAAAAGTGTATTAGTTTTAGAGAGGGCTCCCAAAGTAGTTTCAAGATAGTCGTCTGTAGTTTCAAAAACCTCTCTTCTAAGAGGACAGCCCTTTCTTTCCTGGACTTTAGAATTGCACCAATGAATGGGACCTTCTGGGATGCAGAGAGTAGAGACTTCTGTTTGTTAGAAGGCCCAACGTTTCAAAGAGAGAACAAGTGACTTGAATTGCTCTTCTCAATTCCTCCTGGGAGTGCTATTTCAGCAGTCAATAGTCTAAGCTTAGGGAGACAAAAATTCCTTGTCTCCATAGGTAAGCTGCTAGTAGAGACAGGTATTTGGTAAAAACTCTGGGTGCAGTAGAGAGGCCAAAAGACAGAACTTTGAACTCAAAACAGTCTTGACCAAGCATAGAACAAAGACATTTGCAGTGAGGGTCTTATAGAAATAAGAAAGCATGCATCTAAGACTTAGATCAGCAAACCAAGCTAGAGTGGACAGGGAAGGAAGAATCAATGGCAGGGGTAGCATTCTGAACTGAAACTTTCTGATATATTTGTTTAGAGCTCTGAGGTCCAGAATTGGTCTGAAAGCTCCACTCTTCTCTGAGATCAGAAAGTTACAGAGAAGAACCCCATGTTTCTGTAAGTTAATGGGGCCACCTCTGTAGAACTTCTGTTCTTAATATAATCTTATGAGAAGGATACCTGAAGAAGGAGGGAAGGAGAGGGCTGTAGGGAGAAAGGGATTCAAACAGGATAGTATAACACTCCCTTACTGTTTCCAAATTCTCTCTCAGAGGCGATAGCTGATCATGCATTGTAGAAATGGTATGACAAGTCTCCAAAAACATGGGTTGTACTTTCTAAAACTGGTTCAAAGCTCTCAATTTCAATGTAAAATCTGAGGCTTGACATGGGGCAACGAAAATGCAGCTGAAGAATTCTTTGTCCTCATCCCAGGTTTAAAGGGCTTTCTTCTTTCTTGGGATTGATAAAATGATTGGTGCTGCTACGGCTTGTCTCCTTTTGTATAGTATGAAGAGAAAGGAAGGAGGACAGTACTGCTTATGGTATCCCAACACAGGTGGTTTCCTTCTAAACCAGTGGTTTTCAATCTGTGGTCCATGGACCCTTAGGGGTCCACAGACTATATCTAGGGGATCCATGAAAGATAGTCATTACCATAGAACAGTGGTTTTCAACCCATGCTCCTCAGAACCCTATGTCTAAGATTTCCAAAGAGGTCTGTATCTCCATTCAAAATTTTTTAGGGGTCCACAAATGAAAAAAGGTTGAAAACCACTCTTCTAAACAAATGCAGTAAGTCAAGAGAGCTAGCTGTGGAAGGTCTCATCTTTTCCAATACTTCATCAGTTTTAGCACTGAATAGTCCATCCCCTTCAAAGGGAAGATCCTCTATCTTTGATTTCATTCCCATAAGTAATGATGATCTTAACCATGTGTGCCTATGGAGATCTACTGCTGATGCAACTGATCATGAGGCAGTACCTGAAACATTAAATGATCACCTGAAGGCACATTTGGCAATGTTTTGACTATCTTTGACAAGAGCTACCATTAATTTTCTCTGATTCTTTGGAAGAGTTTTAGTAACGTTCAAAGTCTTTTCCCACAGGTGAAACTAATATCTGGCCACCTCTGCGTGAAAAAAATAATTTTCTCCCTAAGGAGTACAACTTTTCCCCTTCTCTTTCACAGGGAATAAAGTGTGGAAGATCTGAACTGGTTCTTTGTACTGGGTAAACATGAAAAGAAGAGAACCCTTCATATGTGATCTAGCAGAATTTGTCAGCCTTTTTTTAAATGGGTTGACAAGAGGAAGTATTGGTCCATATAAGCTTTTACTGATGATCAAACAGGGCTGGCTCTAGGTTTTTTGCCACCCCAAGCAAAAAATTTGCCACCCCAAGCTCAGGTGGGACTGGGGCTCGCAGGCGGCACTGGAAGCGGACGGAATGATGTCACCGTCTCCCAGTGCCTGCAGGGGCATACCCCCTCCCCTGCCTGGCCGCGCAGAGAAGCCCTGATATAAGGGGTGGCACAAGGCAGCGCAGCAGCCAGTGTGCAGATGAGGCAGCGCAGCCCCGGCTCCCCAGCAGGACTCGCCCTCTCCTCCCCAGGTAGCGGCTGTGCCCTGGCAGCTCAGCACCCAGGGGCTGGGGCTTCCCCTTCCCACTACGACCAGGGGCACGGAGCCCTCGTCCCATCTAAGTGGTGCAGCTCCAAGAGCGCAACTGCCCCGAAAAAAAAAGGATGGCTGGAATGCCGCCCCTGACAATGTGCCCCCCCAACCATGTGCTTGCTTTGCTGGTGCCTAAAGCCGGTCCTGTTATCAAAGTCCCTCCAGTATTGGCAAAAAAAGTTATTTTTGGCAGAAGAACTCAATGTCAAATACTGGGTGGGTGGCTTCTTCCAAAACTACTAATGACAAATTTAAAGTTAACATCATCCCATCTAATAGTTCATGGACTTGAACTAAATCTGTAGATTTAGATGGAGGCTGCTCAGGAGTCGGCTCTTCTTGCATAGTATGGATAGGCAGGAGTTGGCCAACAGGGGCAAGGCATCCACAGTGGCATGTGCCAGTCTTGCCAATTACCCCATACTAGCACCACAGCAGACACTGCTGTGTAGAATGTCTTGAGATGTCTGTTAGAGAAAGAAAGCCCTGTTTCAGAGAAACTGTTGATTATTAGATGCTATCATCAGATCTGGCTCCTACCCTGATCCAATAGTGAAACAGTAGGAGATACGAATGAAGTTAGGATCTAGAGAATGGAGACAGTCTTTCTTGGAGAGGCAGTTGGAATCTTAGATGGGGGGAGTACAGTCTCTGGAGATCTATCATGTTCAAGCTCCTGTCTTGGTCTCTTGTTCAGAGAAAAATTATATGTAGTCAGATCAGTCTATGTTGCGGATCTATGTGAACCTGCACTGTAATTGAAGGATCCTTAGTAGTTGAGGTACAGGATTCTGTTGGTCTCTTTTTCAGATCCATTCCCTTAGAATGATCCCTAGTTGTTATATCTTTAGGTCTTGGATCCACACTGAGTTTTGAATGGCCCAAAGAACCACTTGAGATATGCTTCAGTTTGGCCTCTCTTTTCCTCATAACTGAAGTGCTTGGTTGAGGCAATTTCTCCTGAGCTTTGTGATCCTTAGCTAGAGCAAGCTCTGATGGAGGTTGTAATATCTCTGGAGTTGGATCAGAGGATTTGGCTACTGCAAGCTCAAATTGACTTGGAAGTGAAGTTCGGTCCCGAAACCAAAGCCTTAACTACTGAAGCCTTCTTGGATCCAGAAGTACTATCCTTCCACTCAGATCCTCTAGCTATATCCGATCCTGGAGATTTGGCTGACAAGCCTTGTGTAACGAAAGGGCCTGAAATCCATTCTCTCTCTCTCTCTCTATGGGCCTGAGGAGTAAATGTGCGGCAAACATCGCAATATGAAGGAGAACACTTCTCTCCTAAGCATTTTGGTATCAGACTTTTTTGGGGGGGAGGGGGGGGGGGGGGAGCACATGAGCACTCAGACGCTACCAGAAGGTTCCCCCATCCAAGCTGCACCGGTTGGTGCATTCCCAGGAGTGGGAATACTGCAGAGGACACTAGATGAAGAACAAGGACATTATGATTTTCTATCTTGTAGCCACAGGCGATAAGAAGGAACTGAGTGCAGTTTGCAGCTGCCACACCCCTTATTCCCTGTTACAAGGAAGCAAGAGAAAAAGAGGGGTACAAGCACAGCCACAGCAGACACTGATATTCAAAAGAATGTGATCTCATGCATATGGGGTACATATGCACCAAGAGTAGAATTCTGTATGGCCACTCACTTGACTTCACATTAAATCTGTAAAGCAAGCGGTGCTAGAACTTATCTAACCACTAACTAAACTGAAAGACCACAGCTTAAGCTACAATCTCTACTATGATGAAATGAAAGCAATTAATTTTCCCTGAGATTTTCAATGTGAAAATTTAAAACAGATATGACACAAATGGAGTAAAATGGAAATAATCTTACCACACCATCAATAACACATTGGGAAGCAGGTTTCCGAGGATCCAGGGAAATTCCCATCTCCAAAAGCAACTCTTGATTTCCAGTACTTATTCCAGTATCAAGCTCAATGCGAGACTGAAGTGAATGAAGACTTTCCTCAGGATGCAAGAGAAAAGAAACAATCTTGGCAGAAGTCATATTTAAGATGTGTACTATCTGTAAAACCAAGAACAAAGTCATCTTCATTTCTAGTCGTAATTTCTTTCAAGAGACAAATGGCACTAAGGTATCAGGCTAAATGATACGCTGTCCTAGAAAGAAGATGTGCTGATATACAGATAAATAAAAGTTAGGCTGATTAGATAAATTGAGTTTTAATTACTGTCAATAGTGGCATCCTTAACACGTGGCACATATTTGTCTGAGGCCACCCTTACGCTTCCAGAATAAGGGTGAAAGAGTCACATTACTACTAATATTCTTGCTTTCAGGTATGAACTGAATTAAGGCAGAAGCGTTTTCTCTCTGAGGAAAGGAAGAATGCATCCCCCGACACTGGATTTGGAGGGTGCAAGGATTTCCACTCAATTAGCACATTCATTGTCCACTGAGAGGTCTTTACCATCAGTATTTAGATAACACATTTAAAAAACGCACCTTCAAATTCAGTATGTGATCCATTAACAGGAAACATTTCGGTCGATTGGTTTCTGTGTCTATACCTCCACCCCTCTGCTGTGGATCCCAATTCAGCATCAGTTGTAACCAACTCTCCATTGGTTCTACAATTATACTAAACAAAACAAAAACAAACCATACATTGACATGTGTAATACAAATAAAGAAGGCAGGCATTCTACAACGAAGAGTACAGTTAATTCAAACGTGTTTTCTACCAGTACTAGGAAAAAAAATACTAAGAGACACAAAAATCCCATTGACTTCAGTGGGACCAGAATTTCACCCAAAGTATGTATCCTCTGTTTTATTTCCCTCTTATAAAGTAGTTACACTTATTCAATACAAGAAAATTATTACTACGACATTAATGTCAGAACAGTTACACCATAGGCAAGGCAAAAGTTAAGGTTTCAACAATAACATCGTCTTGCCACACTGGGAATCCAGTATAGTGTACAGTTTACATGTTTTACATGAAACTGTAATAGAAATCTATATATGAAACAAGAAATAGGAAGAACAAGGCAGCGGAAGGTTCCAGAATGTTGCTTCTGGAACATTAACTCCTGCATCTCCTGACTTTTGAAACCACCCCACTTCAATGCAGTCTATGTAGATTTAATCTTTATTTATTTATTAAAGGAAAAACAATTCGCCTGTATTTAATGTGCGCATTTCAATGGTCCCGGTTAGTCTTTGGTGTTCACACCATAGAGAGAAAAATGGAGAGGAGTATGCCTTTGCTGTTGCTCTTGGCAAGTAGACAATCCCATCCCAGGCCCCCAATTCCAAATGGGGGCCAAGAGAAATGAAGATTACTCATCTGATACTGACATTTGAGATTAACTCTGTATATTCCCACTTTTGGGATGTGCTGTAGTGCAGCTCTAACTGTGGAACATTCCATAGCAGTGCCAACTGGAGAGCTCTCACATCCCTCCCTTCTCCTCACTGTTGCTGCATGTTCTGAGGGAGGGGCAATGAAAGGGAGCGTGGCATTCCAGTCACCTCAGTTCCTTCTGCTACCTCCTCAAGTCTGAGACTATTATTAGGACCCCAAGGAAGAGTGGCAGGGAATGTGATGTGCAGAGTCCATCTCAAAGAGCCCTAGTTACAGGTGAGTAACTTTTATTTCTTCTTCGAGAGGCCCCTGACACATTCCCACTGTTGGGATAGTTTGTTATGCAATATTGTCTTCTGCAGAAGGTGGGATAGAGTCCTAATTAAACAGCAACTGGAGTACTGCCCTACCAAAGTGCATGTCAGATCTGAATGCTAAATAAGTAACATTTCATAAATGTGTTTATAGAGGTCCACTTTGTAGATCTGCAGAATTCAGTAATGGGAATATGTCTAAGGCTGTCTTAATCCTAGTGGAACCTTTACAGGAAGAGGGACATGGGCTAGTGTGTGGCTCTCTTCAATGCACAGTGTAACCCATTTAGACAAGCACTGAGATGAAATTGCCTGACCTTTAACTATTCTCTCTGTAGGATATAAAAGAATCTGGGAACTTTCTAAAGTTTTTAGTCCAATCAAAATAGAATGCTAATGCCGTTTTAGCATCTAGTCTGTGGAGTATTGACTTGCCTAAATGCACATGAAATCTGAGAAAGCTTTTAAGGTTAGGCTTGACAAAGCCCTGGCTGGGATGATTTAGTTGGGGATTGGTCCTGCTTTGAGCAGGGGTTGGACTAGATGACCTCCTGAGGTCCCTTCCAACCCTGATATTCTATGATATCTGTAGACAAGCTGATTGGTTAAGATGGAAATCAGTTACCACCTTGGGCAGGAATTTAGGATGTGGACAGAGGACCAACTTTGTCCTTGTGGAAATTTGGTTCCACCATCAAGACTTGCAGTTCATTTACCCTTCTGGCCGATAATACTGCTATAACGAATGCTGTCTTGACTGATAGATGAAGCAGTGAGCACTAATTTATTGGCTCAAAGGGCAGTCTCATAAGTTGAGTAAGGACTAAGATAAGGTCCCAGGATGGCAAGGTGGCTATACATTCACCACACCTGTCAAACTTCTCAATCAAGTCCTGGGTAACTAAGGTTCTGTTGTCTTCTAATACGTGGTAGGCTGAAATGGGTGCTAAATGGACTTTCAGAGAGGATACAGATACTAGATAGTATCAGGTGCAGTAAGCAGGGACTGAGTTTGTTGCAGACAATGAAGATCAGATCCCCAGAAGACAAATCTTACCCACTTGAGGTCATAGCACTTATGAATAGATTGCTTCAGAAGTTTTGCATGATGTGTTGCACATCTGATAAACAAGATTCCCCCAGATCAGTTAGTCCTATAGACCATGCTGTTACGTATAGGGACTGCAGGTGCGGGTGCAAGATCTGTGAAGGAGAACTGGAAACCACTGCAATCTTGCCCTTGCTATAACAACCAGAATTACAAGGGCATTGTCTGCTTTATCTTCCATACTACTATTTGGATTTGAAGAAATGGGAGAAAGGCGTAGAGGATACATATTACCTAGTAGATCTAGAACACATCTGAAATGGATAGCTTACTAACTGTAAGCTAACTAACTGGTAGGGAAGGTTGCTGACAGTTGCAGATACCATGAGTGTTCCAAGTCACAAGGTGATTAGGGACTAATGGCAACTAATGCCCTTCTCTCTTATATCCCCTTGCAGAACAGCATGACAAGACTCAAGGCACATATGCTCTGGGTGGATACTTCCGGCCACAAGCACATGAGGTGCACATGCACCATCAGTCATGGAATGTACACGTGGACAACTACTCTAAGGAGAGCCACAGTACTCCAGTAATCCTCTTTTTCATTCATAAAACATAAGAACCTTCAAAGTTTTGGATAAAGTTCTAGACAACTGCTAGATATTAGCTTTATTGTGCTGCAAAACACAGTAACCAATGGAAACCTGCTGCAATTTTCATATTTTTGATTTGTAGTAAAATTGTGGCCATTTTCTTGCAAAACTACCTGAAATAATTAATCTGGTCATATGCACTATTGGCTCTTAATGGTTTAAAAGAAAACTCAGAGATTAATGTGCACAAAACTATAAACATACTTACCTACAAAGACTGTTAGGCTGTGGCAAATGGGTACTAAACCGAACCTCCCCAGTCATCTCTTCAAAAGCAAAAATGTGCTTTGGATCCTTTTTCTTGATTTTTTCATGCCTATAAAATAAAATTCTCTGTGGACAGACTGACTTTATGTACTCTTATTTTACTTGCTCTAGTTCAGTGGTCTCCAACCTTTTTACGCCCAAGATCACTTTTTGAATCTAAGAGCAACCCAGGATCTACCCTGCCTCTTCCCCAAAGCCCCACCCCACTCACTCCATCCCCCGCTCTCTCCATCACTCGCTCTCCCCCACCCTCACTCACTTTCACCAGGCTGGGGCAGGGGGTTGGGGCTGAGAGGTTCGCAGTGTGGGAGGGAGCTCTGGGCTGAGCCTGGGGCAGGGGGTTGGGATGGAGGAGGGAGTTAGGGATGCAAGCTCTAGGAGGGAGTTTGGGTGCAGGAGGGGCTCTGGGCTGAGGCAGGGGTTGGGGTACAGGAGGGGATATGGGGTGCTGGCTCTGGGAGGGGGCTCCAGGCTGGGGCAGGGGTGCAGGAGGGCGCTCAGTGATGGGGGTTGGGGTGTGGCCTCCCACCAGGCAGCACTTACCTCTGGCGGCTCCCAGTTGGCGGCAAGTGCAGAGAGGCTAAGGCAGGCTCCCTGCCTACCCTGGCCCCACACCGCTCCTGGAAGGGGCTAAACGCACCCCTGAGGCCCCTGGGGGAGGAGGGAAGCTGGGGGCTTGTGTCTCCGCGCGCTGCTTCTGCCTGCAAGCACCGCCCCCACAGCTTCCATTGGCCGGGAGAGCTATGGGGGCAATGCTTGCAGGCAGGAGCAGTGCGCGGTGGGAGACTCCTGCTGCCCCCTCCCCCCCCCCGCGGGGCTACGCTGGCAGCTTCTGGGAGCGGCGTGGGGCCAGGGTAGGCAAGGAATCTGCCTTAACGGTAGACACACTGTGCTGCCGGAGATCGCAATCGACTGGGAGATGCTCTAGGATTGACCATTCGATCACGATCAACCAGTTGGTGACCACTGCTCTAGTTCATACAGCCACCTCCCCACAAAAAGAGCAACTCTATCAAACCCACGCACCTTCTCTCATAGCAAATGTCTTACCAGGTAAATGGCTGTAGATTGTGTAAAAAGGGTCTAAATCCTGCAATACACTCGAACACCATTGTTCCAAAGCTCCAATAATCTACAGTAACAGTGTAGGACTTACTCTCAAAGAGTTCTGGGGCCTAAAAAACAATATCATACTATTTTTAAAATGACAAAACTCCAGAGAATGTATTTTTTTCTATTTCTGGAAAATGTATGATTTGAGGAACATGTGTAAGTAGAATTGTGCTAATTTATGCCAAAGTAAATTGTAAACATGAAAAAAAAACAAAAACACTTACCAAATATTGTAAGGTCCCAACAAATGATGTACATAAACTTCCCTGATCCAGATCTTTGGCATATCCCAAGTCTATTATTTTATGAATTATCTGTCAATATCCAAGACAAATATTTGATAAAGCATGATGAAAAGGGCAAATTCAAAGTAAAAGGTGCAGAGTCAAACCCAGGGATGGGAGGAACAAATCCACAAACAAGATTTAAAAAAAAACATGAAATGCTACACAGAGCTGTTCAGCCATGTAAGCCAAGCTCATTAATTTACATCAACATGCACATACAATTCATTATTGTCCTGAAACTAATTAGAACAGGCTTGACTGAACACAGCATCTAAACTTTTGAGAATTTACAAGATATAGTATTTTGATATCAAGAAAAGTAAACAGAAAAATAGTAAATCAAGAATGCCACTTTTACTAAAAAATGTATCCAACTGAGCACAAGGACAATCTAGATATGTACCCCGCAGAAATCCAAACATATGCCAGGATACAATCAATGTCACATTGCTGATACTGGCAGGAAGCAAAAACACTGGATAAAAAAAAAGTTGATACTTTACAGTAAAGTGACTGATCAATTGACAAGTCTTCAAGGATAAGCAAATAGAATTTGTAATATTAAGAAGGAATATGAACATTATTAAAATCATGGTTGTCTTTTGCATGAGCATCATTCTATGGGATTCAGTGCTATACTCAATAAGAAAGCAGTAGCATTCTTCATTTCAATCAGTCAAGGCAAAATTGTTACATGACTTCCAGATCTGATATTTGGGACACCAAAGGTGATATTCTTTGGCACAGTTATATGACTTACCTTTCCACCATCATCCTGGAGAACAATATTTTCAGGCTTTAGATCTCTGTGTATAATTCTGTTTTCATGCAAATACTGGATACCCGACCCTGAATAAAATCAAGTATTTGACATAAGAAACAGAAACAGCACCAGTACCAGTACAAATCAAGTTATAAGAATTTCTAACACCTCTATACGATTTCCTGACCAAAAAAGAATAAATAAAGTTAAGGTCTATGTATTTCCCTTTAAAAACAAGAATGGTTTAAAATATAATAAAATTCTGTAATTGGCGAATTTACACTTTCACCTCTGTAACCTCCCCACACCGCATTAACAAATCAGAGAACCTTTTACCCTACCAAGTGCCATCTGCATTTCCATTATTGGCCACCAACCAGCTGGCCTATCAATTGCCTGGTGAAGCACCTCGTACAGACAGCTGTCTTCTCCAGCCCACTCTCCTGCTGCAGGACACGGCAGCATGCTGTATTTTACCTGTCACATGAGGTTCCTCACCTACCATTTCACTAGACCAGACCTCCCAGGCTAGTTCCCCCACTGTGCCAAAACAACCTGGAAATTCCATAGTATCTTCTACTCTCACCTTTCCAAGACGTGGAGGGTCAATCCTTTATGACATAATATATAAATCTACCTTTACCTTACTCTCTCAGCACAAAGAAGCCTCAGCCCTCCAAGTACTACATACACCTAAATTGGGGCCATATTTCTACCCTTTCTGTATGGAAGGAAGATGGGAGCTAGTAAGTGCAGCCTGGGAAACTCCACATGCCCTTGGCAGCACATCGCTGCCATATTCTGCCTTATACCCTCCCTTTAGGACAGTCCCCAAGTCAGGTGACACACAAGGGTGTCAAATGCACCCTAGACATCTCGCCCCAGCTCAGTTAACTGAGTCTCCCTGATTATTCTACTGGAAACTGCCCATCAGCTGTGCATTACACATTGACCTGCATAGGGTGCCAGATCCCAGCACCACAAGAATGCACCCCAACACATCACCTTATAATCCAGGCCCCTGTACTCAAGACTGCTACAGAATTTGTACCTTGCAGGATAATTGTGCTCTAAACATCAAATGTTCTGGACTTCTTGTTAAATTTTTTTTATTGCTTATGGTTGCAAAGTAAGCATTAAAAACAGGAACTGAGTGTAAACCATTACATCAGTCTTCCTGCACCTGCAGAAAGCCTGAAACAACCGGTCTAAGAAGTGTCAACTGCCTCATTTATCTCAGTGAGATGCATGGTGTTGGAACAGTCTTTGTTCAGAGTGAATGAAAGGTTGTTTTAAGTTAAGAGCATGTTATGTAAAGGGTTGCTTAAAGAAAGCACAGAACAGATTCAAAGGAATGCAGAGAACTGAGTTTTTGTTGACCTAAAGGAAGTGCTAAATAGGGGTTACAAAACTTCTCATGAAGTTACAGAATTACAGGCCAGAAACTTTCTTAAATTGGAAGCATCTCTGTCGGTTCAATCAGAAATGTGCTTTCAACTAAATGTTGACTGAACAACACTTCCCCTTAGTTAGACATTTCCTTTTTTGGAGCATCTGGAACTCCTTGCCAGAGGATGTTGTGAAGGCCAAGACCATAACAGGGTTCAAAAAAGAACAAGATAAATTCATGGAGGATAGGTCAATCAATGGCTATTAGCCAGGATGGGCAGGAATGGTGTCAGAAGCTGTTTGCCAGAAGCTGGGAATGAGCGACAGGAGATGGATCACTTGATGATTACCTGTTCTGTTCATTCCCTCTGGGGCACCAGGCACTGGCCACTGTAGGAAGACAGGATGCCGAGCTAGATGGACCTTTGGTCTGACCCAGTTGGGCCATTCTTATGCTGCTAAGTATTGAAGGATGGAACGTTGTTGCCTCGGTAATGCTGTTCCGACCCCTTGGTGCTTTTGTCCTTGGAGCTCCAGTGTTATCAGCAATAGCAAACAGTGCAGCCTGCTAATTTAGCAAACCTTAATGCTACTTATAAAAAAAGACAACAGGCACAGTTTTGTAACAAAGGCACTTGGCCAGGTTTATTGCCCTGAAGGCACAGTACTAGCGTTTTATAGGAGCTACAAGGACACTAACATATTAGTGCCCAGGGGCAAGGAACAGCTTAGTGAGCAGAGGAATTTTTGCTGTCTCCTCAGCCACAAAAAGGGTTAAGACAACATTTATAGACTGAAACAAACAACTTACATATCCTTATACATGTTTTATGACATTTGTTTGTTATTTCCCCTTGTTCCTAATCTCTTGGACAAAACATCCTTATTCATTATTTTGTCAAATTTTATTTTGTTTTGGATGCATTTGTACTAGTTAAAATATATGTATGTAAATACTGTAGCTTAGTACACTAGCAACAACTTTGCCAAGTTCATGTACTGGACAGTGAACTTATGTTCATTTGCTTTAAAATATGGCCTGACTTTGGTTTACAGAAGTGGTTCTCAAACTGTTGTACTGGTGACCCCTTTCACATAGCAAGCCTCTGAGTGAGAAACCTCCTTACAAATTAAAAACACTTGTTTATATATTTAACACCATTATAAATGCTGGAGGCAAAGCGGGGTTCGGGGTGTAGGCTGACAGCTCACGACCCCCTATGTAATAACCCTCGCAACCCCCTGAGGGGTCCCAACCCAGTTTGAGAACCCCTGGTTTACAGCCTCTGATTCAGGCCTTAAATTTTGCACCAGGCTCAGTGTTCCAATCTCTCTCTCTACTACAGCTGCATTTTCCTTTCTTCTCCTTCATAGTGTATGTATTTAAGAAAAACAGGATCAGACTAACTACAAAATCCTGCGCACTAAATACAACCATCTAAAAAGGTGCATCCTCTTTCCCTATCCATACAAGGGCACTGAGCCACACCTATAAGATGATCAAACTAGGGGTTTCCCAATATGAGACTACAGAGCTGAAAACAGAAGGAAAAAGGGAATTTGTTAAAATGAAGATATATTTGCTCTTTTGGGATTCAACTGTGCATGCACTTCGTGTTTATTTTTTGGCTTGGTAATGTGCAAGCAAAACCAAGATTCTAGCAACAAAACCCCCAAACCAAACAATTGTTAATGATGTGGCAATAAGTAGCAATAGTGCAACTTTTTAATTTTAGCACACTACAAACCATTAAATCTGGACCATATGTTAACTCTGAAACATAAAAATGAATAATAACCATGAACATTGTTATGTATGTAGCAGGGGAGTTACCCCGCTCCTGTGAAAGGCTAGGCTGATTGGGGAAGCAGCCACAGCTAGGGCCACGCCGCAATCAGGCCACAGCTGGTCCTATAAAAGGGCTGTGAGCCAGGAGCAGAGTCAGTCTCTCTCTAGCTCTGGAGAGAGAAGGTACCTGAAGTAGAGTAGTGCTGGGGAAAGGCAAGAGGAATTGGGGAGCTCAGCCCGGTAACTCCCCAGGCTGCAGGCCTTGTGCAAGGCCTAAAGAAGGTACTGGGGCTGCAAAGGTACAGTCTGGGGTTAGGCAGAAACAGCTGGTCCAGACCCCATTGCCAATGATGAGTGGCCATTACAGACTGCAGTCTGCCCCAGTGAGTGGGAGCTAGATGATGACTGGCAGTAGCCACTGAGACAAGGTGGGGATAATGGGTTGGGGGTTCCCCTGGGAGGGGAGACCCAGACTGTGGATTACTGCTGGAGATAGAACCCTGAGGTAAAGGGGCCAGCGGGGTCCGGGAAGGACACAGGGGCCTGAGGCAGGTGAGCCATGGGCCTGCAGAGGGCGCTCTGGGCTGGACAAGAGCTAATTCCCAAGACTACCAGCAGGAGGTGCCGCACTGGTGAGTCTTCAACCCTGCTACAATGTATTTCATTATAGATCATTTTTTCAGAAATATCTAACTAATGTGCTTAGCTCACAATTCCAAAATGCCTTCCCCACATGAGCCAGGAACCAGAAGCCCCACCTCTTCCATACCAGCTGCTAAAAATCTTCAATCCGTAATTTACAGCTTCAAAAATGCACTTATCCACAGTCAATACAAAAATCTGCAGGAAATGGAGGACTGGCAATGTAGAGGCACAGTAAAATAAGTTGAATGTTATGTCAGGAACACACATGAGGGATACCGTATTATTAGTATTAGTATGTAATTTAATTTAAAGTCAGAGTTTACCTGAAGGCACCACAGAATTTCCAGCCAGCTAGAGTGGAGCACCACAAGCCCTCGGGGCCAGGCAACAGAATTTCCAGCCAGCTAGAGTGGAGCACCACAGGCCCTCGGGGCCAGGCAACAGAATTTCCAGCCAGCTAGAGTGGAGCACCACAGGCCCTCGGGGCCAGGCAACAGAATTTCCAGCCAGCCACTGGGGAAATCTCTGACCCTATAGGCCAGGCCAAAGAATTTAGATGCAGCTCCCCACAGAGTACATAGGGCCTTTCCTAAAAGTCGAAGGCAGGCAGGAATACAAGACAGAGTTAAGACTTGTTTTGCAAAATTACTTGTAAGTTTCCACTTTCCAGTGTTCAATTGTTTATTTAACAATACAATTCAGTGTTGTTAACATGCATATGGCCATTTAAAAGTATCTGGCTGGACATTTCCTTGGAATGACTTCATTAGGCCATTCTCCAGGAGCTCCTCCTGCAGATACACCCACCTGGGTGTAGAGAAGACATTTTCACCAGCCAAGACCAACACTATCTCCCTAGACAGAGAGCTGTGCTGACTCGAGATAGAGTTGGTGCTTTTTATTCTCTCCTAGCAGTGCTGCTGGCAGAGCAATGGAAGCCAAGAGCAGGCATCTGAAAAGGCAGTATAGCAAAGATACCATTGCTGTGACTCTAGACCCCAGTCCAACTCAGCAGGAAGAGTAATGAGAAGATGCTGGCCACCAGGAGCAGGAACACACATCAGGCATTCTTGCTGCCCTAGACCAGGTCTGAAGTGTGTGTGACTAAAGTTAGGGTTGGTCGCGGGGGGGGCAAAGGGGATCCACACAGAGTTTCAGACGGTCTATCCTCCAATCCAGGGACTACAAAATTGATATTAGCACCTGAACCATCTTTTCCACATGTTGTTGATTTGGGGTATACACAGATGCTAGCCATGGCTG